TATGGCAACATCCACTATCTCGACGGTATGGTGACTGTCTCTTATACACATCTAGATGTGTATAAGAGACAGGTGTGTGTGTGTGTGTGTGTGTGTGTGTGTGTGTGAGCGAGAGAGAGGAGACAGAGAGAGAGCTTTCCAGCCATGCACGCAGAGAGATAGAGAGAGGCTACTTCCACCGATAGGATGAGCAAAATCGGAATGAATCTTCCACTAGAATATGGAAATAAGAAACATACACTGCTGTCCAGCCATGCGCGCAGAGAGATAGAGAGAGGTTACTTCCATCAATAGGATGAGCAAAATCGGAATGAATCTTCCTCTAGAACATGGAAATATACACTGCCACTTTTTTTTCTTTTTTTTTTTTGTGTGTGTGAGAGAGAGAGAGACAGACAGAGAGAGGGAGAGAGAACAGGTAAGTCTCCGTATCTTTTTTGTCTTTTGTGCATTGAATCCGAACACGCTAAAACGTGCAGACATGAACTTGTATTTGAACATGAGTGGCGCGCCGATCTCAAACAAGCTGAAAAGGGCTGATATGAACAGCGTGAATGGAAACAAAGCGCCGCCGCAGAAGATTCGTTCTCCAAGCACAAAACAAAACAGCCACCAACCAACTGCACGTGGGGCCAGAAGGGGCCAGAAGATGCGGGAAAAAGGGGGGGGGGAAAGAACAACTCAGAGTCTGCAGCCATGTACTTGTATTCGAACGTGCACCTGATATTTGCGACCCCGCCCCAACAGCGAACGACGTTTTCCCAACACTGGCAGCCGGGCCTCGCAGGAGCGTTACGCGACACCCGGCTTACACTTTCATAAGAGTACAGATATAGAAAAAAGAAAGAAAAACACTACAACACTGGCAAAGCGATGCTTACCGATTTGGAGTATGCAAGTTCATTGTCCAGACACAACTGTTTGGCAATTTCCTGCGAAGATCAATCCAAGAAGGGAGAAACCATTAAGGACCACACAAGTATTCATGTGAGAGCTAGTGAGAATGTTGCAGGCCTGATGACGGAGAGATTCAGCGAGAACTGAGCAGCAATCCCACAGAGCACATCACCATTACACCACTACAAAACCATGTATGTGCTAAAACTGGAAGTTGAGCAAACTCCATATGGTGATGCAGTGGGAACCAAACCATATGGAATGCAGCAAAAACGTCGAAAAGAAAAAATCAGTTGCCATCTGGTGGAGGGGCTGGTTTACCCCATCGCCAGATCTTTCCGACTTGCATTCCAGCAACGGTTATTTCTGGCATTTGCCATTGATTTTGAGGAGAATATTAGGGATTGAATCATTGAACCGAACATGGATTTATTGAGCCTCCTCCCCCCTTTCCCTCCCCCTCTCCCTCCACCCATTCATACTATTTTCATAAACAACCAATGAAATCATTTGTCAGGAAACCCAACCCCAGCGCCCCATTGCTTGTAGTGGTGAGGAAAAAAACGCCGAATTTTGGGCCTTCCATTAACCATCTCCGAAAGCCTGCAAAAGGTACTCCGAATATAGTTTTTTTTTCCCTTTCTTTAGGCCTGTTTGTTTTTTAATATTTGTATTATGAGCCTGCATTGTTTGTTCGCAAAATTTTCGATGCCGTTGCTTGTAGTGTATTTGCGGGCATGTGTTTAGCCCCTTGTGAAAGTGTGACAAGAGGCACTGTAGTGTTGACCAATGGTCAAGGTGCACAGCAATGAGTGTGTGCGCGGATGTGTTGACTGGTGGGGTGGAGGGGTTATTTGTTCAGGACTGCACATGCAAGAATTTTTCAGCACGCCACACACCCAATTTGGGGCTGCCTTGAAAACAGTTCCGTTTGGCATTCAAAAACTTTCCAGGTCCACACACGGCACTACAGGAGCCCTTCTCCTCAACCGGTTCCGTGTAACCAGTGACAAAATATTTCCGCACACCGCAAAGGTTGTTCATCTCCCACACAGGGAACAAAGGGTCTGATTGACAACCGATGGTCGTGATAGGGACCTTATGACGTAAGGAAACTCAGTAGTGGGAAGATAACGATTAGGAGATAGGCTTGTTCTACCAGCCAGCCATCCATTCACCTACTCATCTGCCCACCAAACACTCATCCATCAGTCCATCCATACATCACATACGATGGCATATGACAGCAGTTCTTACGGCAGAAAAACAAACAGGACCACAAGATTCACAACCAACAAAAAAGTTTGAGCAACAGCAGCAATTAACAACACAGCCTACCCCAATCGAATGAACTCCTTTTTCTTGAACAAAGAAAAAGGCAAAGAGAAAAACAAAGCCAACTTCAGAAAATAAGCCAACCTCTGGAGAGTAACGAGAGTTCATATTTCAGGAAACCAGGCAAGACCCACCTTGAGTGCGTTGCGCTCATCACCATGAAGTAACCCATTCAATCGCACCTGATAGACCAGGAAACATGATACATTACATTATTACATCCATAGCTATTATCAAAAGCAAACCTCAGCTTCGGGAGAGGTGCTACCTCTACTAAACTCCTGCCATTCTTTGCCCCTGTTGCCTGCTAAGCAGCAACTTAGAATAACCATTAAACCGCAAAACTGTCCTTGAAGCACCAGGTCAACCCCCCGGCATTTCATGGATGTATGGGCCTGCCCGTGTGCAGTTAAATCACCAGTACATTTACCAGCTACTGCCTTCCTAGAATGGCCGTACATGCGCCGCGACCTTTCATGGATGTACGGGCCTGCCTGAGTGCACCAGTATGTTTCCCAGCTACTGCCTTCTAGTGTGGCCGTAGATGCACCACGACCTTCAGGGTTTGAGACCGTTGATGAAAATGCCGAAGAGGTGATGACCCTCGGGGCATTCACGGGAAGGCAAAAAAAGAGTGGCTGGGATAAGTACTAGTGGTTCAAATTTATTCATGATAAAATGCATTCACAGGTCCGTAGAAGGGTCTCACGGGCTGCTGCTCGCAATGCATTCCCCCTATTGCTCGAGATAAAGACAATGAAATGCATATAACTCAAACCTCAAACGACACGATGCATAGATAATGTCAATCTCAGCAAGCCCCAGCGGACATGATGATAAGCTGACAAGTCATCTCAGAAGGTTTCCAGGGAGGGAATCAACCAGAATGCTCTGTTAAAATACTCAACCAGACTCGAAAGCATACAATACCATACATCGATCAAGGTCGAATACACAGACGGGCAAGGCATCCCCTCTTCCTTGGCACACTACAGAGCAGAACAGGAAGGACGCAAAGAAAATACGCTAGCTATCAGCCTCAAGACAGCAGAGAAATAAGTGAAGAAAATCCAACCAACTTGCAGGAATTGCACCCTGCAATTCTTCTTCTTTTTTTTTCTTTTTTCTTTTCTTTTTCTTTTTTTTTCTTTTTTTTTTTGCACCCTGTACTTCTTAGGATAGCCCAAATGAGTAAAGAGTGCAAGACACAAAGGCATAAACATAAACAGAGACAGTAACGCACAGAGCAAGTTGTTGGCAGGCTCACCTCAATTGCAAAGGTTCCTTCTCCTCCCCTCTCCACCCCAACCGCTTCMCCCCCCCCCCCTCCCCTCTCCCTCCCCTCTTGCCTCCTCTCATCCCTCCCCACCTTCCTCCTTTCCCCACTTCCCTTTCTAACCTCACCACTTTCCCACTTCCTTTTGCACCCTCGGTGCCTTACCAACCAATTATCCGTGATATGCTCCAGAACCTTCCACAAAAAGTGCACAATCAACTACCCATGAGACAATCACGACCAAGAAAGTGGCATGTCTATACTCTCACCTTCTGCCAACACAACAATGTACATACAGCACATCAAGCCACATCACCATCACAAATGACATCGATGATGGACAGATTTGTCATTCTGTAACAATTTGCTTTCTTATTGCCTACAGGCCATGCACGTTTGACAAGGCAATAATATACACGGCAGTTTAACAATATATTAATAACAGCTAGCACAAGAAAACTAAGAACCAAGCAATTCCCTACATACTTACCACTGATACAAGGCGTGGATACTTCCGTTGCACCTCTGCCAAAACACGTTCCAGGACCTGCAGGCTCCGTCCGATCCACACAACATTTAATTTACATATTGTCACACAGCTATTATACTAGGAGAGCTCTTGCGCCAAACAAAACATACACGATGACACAGGTATCCAACAAGGGGAGTGCAAAAGAGAAGGAGAAAACTAGACAGAGACTAGGGGCAAAAGAAAGCAGAGGCCGTTCCCTCTTTTACTTGCTTGTTTTCCTCATCCTTTCTTTTTCTCCCTTTAAGAAAAGAAAATATTTGAGCGGCAGATTGCAGTGCTCCTATACTTGGGAATCACTAGACCAACCTGTTGTTATAATACCATAGACACTTGAACACTTGAAGACTGACTAGAAAATATGTGAAATGTACCTACATTTAAGTCTGACAGTACTATACGATAATCGAAATGTATTACTGCCCAAGCAACCAAAATTAACATAAATGTAATGACTGGAGTCATTATAAAAATGAATAAATTAGCGCCACTTATAGTAGAATATGATATTTTATCATTGATATCAAAACATCTGCTGAAGGTTGTAATAAACCAACCAATCATACCACATTCGGACTTTTTAATCGAAACCAAATTAAGCAGGCCATGCTAGGGCCCATTTGGAAGGTTATTTTTCTTAGGGCCCTACGGCCCTTTTCCACAACCACACCAGGCAGACACTGGTTGTTTTGCTATGCCCGTCGGCCCTGTCCATGCAATCGTTTTCTGCATTTACATGTTATGGTGTTTGGAAGTTCTCCAGAGACTGGCAGAGAGTGGCCAGTTTCCCAGGTCGCATGGGATCCAACCAGGCAGTGCATACAGTATTTTTATCACGCCTGGCAGATACTTCATTCACTCACACGACGGTCAGGCAGGACACTGGTTGAGACCCTGACACTGCCTAGAACCGAGTAGGTGGTGGAGGCGAGAGGTGTGCAGTAGAGTGCACTGACGGCCTTTAGCCACCCAGGATTGACTTCAGGGGATCTGTGACTCTGGCTCCGCACAGAGATTCCCTCGCTCACTGGTCTGTTCATTCCGCTACTGTGAGTGTGTTGTCATATTCGCTATACACTCAAATAAAGCATGACTGTGTCCGACTGTTTCGTTGGACTTTTACCGACTCATCAGGAGGTTGAATCGCGACAGTCTGCCCAGATGCATTTGACTGGTGGATAAGGACTCACCACATCACCCCAAGTTACTGTGAGTGTGTGTGTGTGTGTGTGTGTGTGTGTGTGTGTGTGTGTGTGTGTGTGTCTGTGTGAGAGGTAGGGTCACATTCTGGTCAACTGCCACTCGAAAGGGAGATTTACTGCGAGCTGCTCATCAGCATTTTGCCAGGAGTCAGAGGTGAGGTCGGAGGCGTGACTCAGGGGAGATATTGAGAAGACTTATATTGCTCGGTTCTGGGCTGAGCTTCTCTTCTCCACTACTCCACTACTTCACCACTTCTCCTTCTCCTTCCTCTTCTCTTTCTCCTTTTCGATGACTGACCAACGAGGAGTCCATCGATGCATGCTCTCCTCCTCCCAGCCTCTATCGTATATGCATTGCTGACTCACATGCCTATGACCTTTCCAACTGCACGCTGTACTTCATGCTGTCTCTGCTTCGTTACTGTATTGTCATTAAGGTTCCCAGTGTCATTCTTGCAGTTGCCCTCATTGGATACATAGTTGGCTCATGCATCCCCGGCTGCATCACCAGGGTATGTGTTAGGTGGTAATGGAGCAGTGATCTGGGACAGCAAGACACAGATGAGCATTGTGTGTCAATCTCTCTCTCTCTCTCACCACTGATTAATTTGATTGATTTGATTGATTTGATTGATTTGATTGATTTGATTGATTGGCTTGGGTTGGGTTGGGTTGGGTACCACGTCAGCACCAGTGTCGTACCAGATCAGCATAGGGTCACTGCCAAGTCAGCGTTGGTTAGTCCCACATTAACATTGGCAGAGTGTGTCATGCCAACAGTGCCATGTAGCTTGCAGTGCCCAACTGCTGCGGTGCCAAGTCTCTGGAACGGTGGCAAAGAGAGTCGCTTGCCGACTATACCGCTTGGCATTTTGCCACAGCTGGGTCCTCTCACCAGTAAATGCAGGAGAAGAATGCCACCAGGGAGCAGATACGCCAAGAAGAGGAAGAGTGATGCCAGCAGCAAGAGGAAGAAGATTGTCAAGCCCTACAAGAGGCTGCTGAATTGGAGGGGGCTCAAGCCACCAAGGGTTTTCTTATCATACAGGAGCCCTGAATCGTTCGTCAAGGGTCGGCTTATGCCAAATGCACTGCCACCCAGGATTGCATCCCTGCCGACCGCCGACCGTATTGCAGCCGACCAGTAGGGCCGACCAGTAGGGCCGACCGGTCGGCAGTCTGCTGACCAGTCAGAAAAATAACCATCCACTGTTTTTTTTTTCAAATCTGAGTTGGGGGCTGTACTGCGTTTGGTGAGTACAGCCGAAATACGCTGAGAAACTTTTGGGGATGGGGGGGGT